TAGATATTAGTGATACATATATTCATATATATGTAGCTGACTCTTGAACAACACAGACTTGAACTGTGTAGGTCCACTTACATATGTATTTTCTTCCACCTCTGCCACCCCTGAGATAAAAAGACCAACCCCCCTCCCCTTCCTCTTCGTCCTCAGGCTACTCAATGTGAAGACAACAAGGATGAAGACCTTTATGATGATCCACTTCCATTTAATTAATAGTAAACACATTTTCTCTTTCTTATGATTGTCTTAATGACATTTTATATTTTCTAGCTTACTTTATTGTAAGCATATGGTATATAATACATATAACATACAAATATGTGTTATTTGACTATGTTACCAGTAAGGCTTCTGGTCAACAGTAGGCTACTAGTAGTTAATTTTGGGAAGTCAACAGTTTTAAGTGAATTTTTGACTGTGGAGGGAGGTTGGTGTCCTGACCCTCACATTGTTCAAGAGCCAACTGTATTTTTATATATTGAATAAACATATACATATAGGAATATATAAGAATACATGTGAAATGCTTAAATATCTTGGAAAGGACAATTTTCCACAACTGATCCCATAAGAAAACCTAAATAATCCTATAATCATAAAAGTAATTAAATCAACAGTTTAAAACCTTCTGACAAAGTAAACTCCAAACCCAGATGGTTTTGCAAGTGATTTGAGGAAATACTTAAGAGCCAGATAATCCCAATCTTGCACAATAGAAATCCCAATAGAAAAAGAGAGAATACTACCCATATTATTTTGTGATGATACCAATACTAGATAAGGACAGTACAGAAAGGATAATAGCATGCCAATCTCAACTCACACATACAGATGCAAATATCTAATGTTCACCTTTATATCTATATCTATATCTACATACAAAAGTTATAACATATTTACCAGAAAGGGTTTATTCCAGGAATACAAAATCGGTTTAATATCAGAAATTCAATAGTATACCATGCTACTATATTTAAAGGAAAAAGAATTATATGATATTCTCAATAGCTACAGAAGAAACATTTGGTAAAACATCCACTTATAATAAAAATGTTTACCAAAAGAAGAATTGAACTTCCTTATCATAGGGAAGGCATTTACAAAATTACTAGCAAATACCATGTTTACAGTTGATATGGTGAAATATTTCTCTTTATTATATTAAGGACAAAACAAGATGCCCTTCACTACTTTTATTCAACACTGTACTGGAGCACCTAGCCATTGTAGTAAGACAGGAAAAAAAAATTAAAGGTATAAAAATTGGAAAGGAAAAAACAAAGTTGTCATTATTTTCAGATGATATAACTGTCTATGCAGTGAGTCTGAAAGAATCTACAGGTAAATTTATAATAAATAATTAATTTTATCAAGTTTGATTGATATATAATTAATATATAAAAGGCAATTGGATTTTTTATATGTCAGCAGCAATAAACTACAAAGTAACTTTTATAAAAGAAAACATTTACTAGAGCAGTAAAAATAATATACTTAGAAATAAATTTAACAAAAAAGGAGCAAAAAGAAAACAAAAATAGAACAAAACATTAAAGATGATCTAAATAAATAGCATTATATACCAAGTTCATAGATGGAAAGACTGAATATCTTAAAGAGGTCATATCTCCCCAAATTGATTGTGTTCTCCAAAGAGCATGTGTTGGAAACTTAATCACCAATGCAACAGTGTTAAGAAGTGGGGCCTAATGAGAGGTCATGAGGGCAGAGTGAATGAATTAATGCCATTATCAACAGAGTGGGTTGGTGATAAAAAGGGGAGTTTAGGCCTTTTATTCTCTCTCTCTCTCTCTCTCTTGCCCTCTCTTTGCCCTTCCACTATAGATGATACAGCAAAAAGGCTCTTGCCAGATGCTGGCCCCTTGTTCTTGGACTTCCCAGTCTTTAGAATCTTGAGTCAATAAATTTCTGTTTATTATAACTTGCCAGTCTCAGATGTTCTATTACAACCGGACAAAATGGACTAAAAGATTGAGTCAATACAATCAACCAAAATCCCAACAGATTTATTTGCTTGTTTGTTTCTTGTTTTGGAGAACTTGACAAGTTTATTTAAATATTTATATATAAGGTCAAAAAACCAAGAATAGCTGAAACACTGTTGAA